ATTTCCTTTAAATATGAGTTTCTTTAAATTCACATTTGCTTCGCCCAATGTTTCTTTTAGGATAAGCCAGTCTAATTGAAGTTTTGAGTGTCTGGAATGACAGCTCAATTTTTTTGAGCATTGGCTCCTCCTCTTTTAGAATTGGGATGACTTTCATGCACCTAGATTGTAACTCTATTTGAACAGGATTATATTTCTGCCTCCGGTCTACACTAGCACCAGGAAATTGTGTGCTATAAAGACAGGCATTTAGGGAAACATTTATAAACTAAATTGTTTTTTGGGTTTTTTTTTGGTTTTTTTTCTTGCTGAGCCATCCTGTAGGCCCAGAGTTGGCACAAGAAAGATTCCAATTCATTCTGCCTCAGCACTGCTGCCTCAAATGGAGAAAATTTCTGCTTACAGATGAGTCACTCAGGACAAGGCCCAGCATGTAGGTGACACTGCTTTGCAACATGGCATAATTGCCTGTACAGCCCAATGCATTCATATTTCTCTTTCCCTTTTTATTTTTAAATTGTCCCTTCATGTCCTCTCTCCCTCCTTCATCCCTCCCTTTATTTCCTCTGTCTTTTTGTCTGTCTCTTTGTCTCACCTTCTTTTTTATCATTTTTATTTTAATTTTAAATAGCTTGTTTTACATGTCAATCCCAGTTCCCTCTCCCTCCCCTCCTCCGGCACTTCCCTTCCCACACCATCCAACCCTATTGCCAAATCCTTCCACATAGGGGTATCTAGAGTCTGTCATTTTACTCTTGGTAGGGTCCAGGCACTCCCCTAAGAGACCAGGCTGAGAGAGCATCCCTCTTTGTGCTATAGGCACATGATGACTCTTTGTATTCCAGGGATAGACACTGATCCACAGCTCAGGGCCCCATAGGTTGCCCAGGCCTTCTGGCTGACACTCACATTTGGGGGGTCCAGATCAGTCCCATGCTGGCCTCCCCACTGTCACTCTGGGGTCCAAGAGCTCTCCCCTGTTCAGACCAGCTGTCTCTGCTGTTTTTATCAGCCCATTCTTTGCCAATTTGCGCATCTCTCCTCTGTTTCTGTCACTGGGTTCCATGGGTTCAGTTTAGTGTTTAACTGTGTGTGTTTGCCTCTGCTTCCATCAGTCACAGGATGAAGGCTCCAGGATGGTTATAGACATCAAGTTCATTATCAGGAATGGGCATCTCCACTATTGCTCAGCATGCCAATTGGTGACATCCCTTTAGATCACTAGAGGTCACATTGGTGCCTGATCTGTCTTCTAACATATGATTCCCTCTTCCCTCTATTCTACCCCTAGGTTTTTCAAGGCCATCTGACTTCATGGTGATTCATACCAGCAGAGAACACATGGATCTCAGTCTCAACCAAGAAATCATGTGGAAAATGTCCTCTCTTGTAAAATGGGAGAACACTAGACCTGCCTCAAATGCTACAGCTGCCTCAGATTGTGTAAAATCTTAGACACTGCATTGGCGATCAAACTGAGAAAAGCCATCTTCAGCCCCCAACCCTCAAGGTCTGCCTGTGCCACAGGGAAACTCTGTCATCTACCTGGGTAGTGGCCAACATCACAGAGGCAGGAAATTATGACACTGATGAAGCCTCTAGGGTGGTGCCTGAGACGACCTGCTCTGTGGGCTGCGAGTTCTGGTGGGGAACAACAGTGGAAGCTGAGGCAGAAACCTGGGATGCCAGTCGACTTCCCGCGCATGGAGAGAGAAGGTGCATGCCAGGAATGTGTGGGGCTGTTGGTGTCCCTGCCTGCAGTGTTCGCTGGTGCTGGCCTAGGACCATGTCCTGAGTCTGCGGGCCTCTCAGCGGGCATCCTCGAGGATGAGAGGCAGAGATAAACATAGGAAACAGGAGGCCTCCGGTTTCTCGGGGCTCTTCTGATGCGGCCAGGCTGAGTGTGACCCCTTCGAGCTTTGGTCCAGATGTGCTGGCTTTCCTGGGCAGCCTGGAGCAGGTGGCTGCCATTGGCAGTGGCTGTCCATACAGGAGTGGATGGGTCAGGAGATAGAGGAAGCACCCTAGGCTGAGACTAATTGAACAACTGGCATAACTCTGTGTCAGCTTCCCCGAGTATCCTAGTCAAGAAGTGCTTGGAGCTCTAACTTCACTGTGTCTGAATGGCCAGGCAGAGTCATAGGGCAATATTTCCTTCATCAGAACTATCACGATGATTGTGTGTGCCCGATGTTTGTAGCCGCCTTTAGTGTTTACTTTTTCTTCCCTGTCAAATGGGGCACTGCCATGGACAGAAGTTTGTTTCAGGCACATCGGTCTGGTAGTGAGGCTGGAGTGCACAGGAGAACTGAGGCAACTTTCATATAATTAGGGGAGATGCGAGCTAAAGTATCAGAAGTGCAGAAGAAATGTGAGGAGGACAGGCAAGCGGTTCATCTATAGTGTAAGATTGAGTTGACGTTTGGAGAATGAGAGAAAAGTAAGAAGTTAGAAAGTGCTTTGAAGTGTCATCGGGTGAAGATGTCCTGAGGTCAGACTGATGAAGTGTAAACCTGGGTCACTTAAGCAAATGCTGGAGTTGCAAACTGGGTGGACGCTTTAGGAACTCTCAAAGAGCCCGGCGGAAGAGGGCAAAGAGGCAGCTGAGAATGAGTGTAGAGTCACTGTAGTGCACTGTCACAGAAGCTGAGAAGTCAGGGAGGTCTCAAGGAGGGGAAAGAGTGGTCAGTGACTTGGAATGACAATTTGTAGTCGCACTGTACAATTGAAAGACGTGGACCACAAATATTAGTTTTAAATGTTCCAACAGACACGTTTGTAAGGGTTACAAGAAACAGGTGAAATTAGCTTTAATGATTTGTTAATCCAGCATGGGTAAAAGTTTTATTTTATCATGTAACCAGTATAAAAAGTAACTTGTTTTCCTCTGTAGATAGTAGACTCGACAGTGAACAGAAACATTATCTGATTCTACAATATCCTGGGCACATGTTACACCTTTTTGTTGTGTAAAAGAAACCCAGTTCCTCTTTGATGCAGGAAGAATTCTTCTTTGGTTTTCATAATGCCTTGCCCAGTTCCTTGTTTAAGTTGAATAAAGCAAGAATTTAGGCAATGATATGTATCATTGGCTTACAGGTAAATTAGATTTAAATATTCAGTTTTAATTAAAAATGTACACTATACATTTACACAGAAGTTTAAGAAAGTGACTCACAATAATTATAACTTCATTACAAAGCTATCAAAATAACATTGGGGAAAAGAGCCTTTATAGTTGCCAGGTTTGGTGGCATGCATTTGGAGTTCATGTCTTATTTAAACAAGTTCTTTAGATAGTATATACAGAACAAGTTCTCTGGTTTTATTTTATTCATTCATTTATTCTACTTGTTTCCCTGGCACTATTCTAGATCTTTTATAAATTATTTCTTAGAGCTTGAGATTGCTTAGTATTTGTTCATCTTCAAATCACATTTTTTTACACAGTGTTTCATGCTGTCTTTATGCCTAGTTTTGGTGATGCTGAGTTACTTAAAGTGATCAAAAATCACCATAACAAGAGTTTTGCTTTCTCAGTAATAATGTGTGAATCAATACATTGTGATTTTGTAAGTACTTAGTAAACAGGTTAAAAGTGTTTTTAAGTGCTTTCATACACTCTATTTTGATCATTGGAAGAATGTTTTTTGTTTTTTTGAGACATAATTTCTCTGTATTGTTTTGGAGGCTATTCTATAACTTGCTCTGTATACCAGGCTGGCCTTGAACTAACAGAGATCTGCCTGCCTTTGCCTCCTGAGTGCTGGGGTTAAAAGCATGGGCCACCAATGCCCTGCTCATTAGAAGATTTTAACAGGTGATGATTCTTAATTTTATGCAGACTAAAAACAATGTTTAGATATCTTCACGATTTTTATTTAAAATTATATTTTGCAGTTCCAGACAGAGTTAACCAAGCTGGCCTCGAACTCAGATACACACCTGGCTCTACATCCAAAGTGCTTGGATTCAATTGTATGCCATTTTGCCTGTCTTGTTATTTATATTATGTCTGAATTTTGACTGTGTGAGCCACCCCGTCCTGTGAGTCACAATTCTTATTTTGCTTTTGAGGTACTAGGAATAGGATATAAGATTTATTAATGAGGACTGGGGGCAGAGATTCAGTCCAAGGGAAGCAATACAGTGTCCAAAGGCACTGTGATCAGTCATACACAATCCTGTATCATATTATTAAATTAATTCACAGAATAAATTAAAAAGAATATACCCCCTCTCCTGTTTTCTTCTGTTAGTAGTCAGTAAGGTTCCTTTTCCTTTTTTCTTAAGGCTTCATGGGTTTTCTGTTTTGCTATTTCAAGACAGCATTTCTCAGTAGCTATGGAGCCAGTCCTGGAACTCACTCTGTAGTCCTGGTCTCTAGACCAGGCTGGCCTTAAATTCAGAGAACTGCCTGCCTCTGCCTCCCCAGTGCTTGAATTAAAGGCATGTTCTATGATTGCCCGGATCATTTTGGTGTTTCCAGACAGGGTTTCTCTTTGTAGTCCTGGCAGTCCTGGAACTCATTCTGTAGATAAGGCTGGTCTCAAACTCTGCCTCCTGAGTGATATGATTAAAGTGTGAAACCACTGCCTGGTTAAGGCTTTATGATTTTTGTTGAAGCAATTTGTTTTATATCTCATGTTTATGGGAGACTTAGAAATTTATTTTAACAAGCTTAGTTGCTGGCATGATCTTGCTAAGCTTTTTTTGTGCTGGTGGTGATATTTTGAAACTGGGTCTCACATTGTGACCCAGTCTGCCATTAAACTTGTTTGTTCCACCTTAGCCTCCTGGATCACAGGTGTGAGCTACCACACTCTGTAATTTTAATTGTCATCTTACTTGTCTTGAAAAATATTTCATCTTGTTAAGTGGTAAATTCTTATTTTTCTTTTTAAGAAATGTTGCTTGGGAAAATGGAAGAAGAAATGAAGCAAAAAATGCAAGAAATGGAAGAAAAAACAAAGCAAAAAATGCAAGAATTGGAAGAAGAATCATACCAAAAAAGGCAGGAAATGGAAGAAGAAACAAAGCAAAAAATGCAAGAAATGGTAGAAAAAACAAAGGAAAAATGAAAAAATGGAAGAAGAAACAAACCAAAAAAGGCAGGAAATGGAAGAAGAAACAAAGCACAAAATGCGAGAAATGGAACAAAAAACAAACCAAAAAATGCAAGAAATGGAAGAAAGAACAAACCAAAAAATTCATAAAAGGCAACAAACGGATGAACAGATAAACAGAAAATTGCAAGAAGCAATGCAAACACTGCAAGGGTTGAAAACTGAAATAGAGTCATTAAAAAAACACAATCTGAAGAAAGGCAGAAAATAGAAAAGCTGGACAAACAGTCAGGCACTACCGATACAAGCATCACCAACAGAATAGAAGAGATGGAAGAGAGAATTTCAAGTGTTGAAGATACGCTAGGAGAAATGGATTTATCAACCAAAGAAAACCTTAAATCCAACAAATCCTTAACACAAAACATCCAGGAAATATGGGACACCATGAAAAGACCAAACCTAAGAAAAATAGGTATAGAAGAAGGAGAACAAATCCAGCTCAAAGGGGCAGAAGGCATATTCAACAAAATCATAGAAGAAAACTTTCCCAACTTTAAGAAAGACATGCCAATGAAGGTACAAGAAGCCTACAGAACACCAAATAGAGTGGACCACAAAATAAAATCCCCTCGCCACATAATAATCAAGACCCAAAACATACAGAATAAAGAAAGAATATTAAGAGCAGCTAAGGAAAAAGGTCAAGTAACATATAAAGGCAGACCGATCAGAATTACACCTGATTTCTCCATGGAAACGCTGAAAGCCAGAAGGTCCTGGATAGATATTCTACCTACACTAAGAGACCACGGATGCCAGCCCAGACTACTATACCCGGCAAAGCTCTCAATCACTATAGACGGAGAAAACAAGATATTCCATGACAAAACTAGATTCAAGCAATATGTGTCCACTAACCCAGCCCTACAGAAAATTTTGCAAGGAAAACTCCAACCCAAGGAAGCTAACTACAACCAGAAAAACATAAGCATTAGAGAATCTCTCTCTACCAACAGCCAAAAGAACAAAGTTGTGAAATTCCACACATAATTCCACCAACAACAACCATCGCAAATCGAAGAAGGATGAGCAATCATTGGTCATTAATATCCCTCAATATTAATGGCCTTAACTCACCCATAAAAAGGCACAGACTAGCAGATTGGATTCGAAGACAGAACCCTTCCTTCTGCTGCATACAGGAAACACACCTCACCCTTAAAGACAGACATTAAGTGAGAATTAAAGGTTGGGAAAAATTTTTTCAATCGAATGGACCCAAGAAACAAGCCGGGTTAGCAATCCTAATATCTAACAAACTAGACTTTAAAATAAAATCAATCAAAAGAGATGAAGGAGGTCATTACATACTCATCACAGGTGAAACGCACCAAGAGGATGTGTCTATTCTGAACATCTATGCCCCAAATACAAAGGCATCCACATTCGTTAAAAAAACATTATTAGAACTTAAATTTCATCTAAAGCCCCACACAGTTATAGTGGGAGATTTCAACACAACACTCTCACCACTAGACAGGAATACCAAACAGAAACTCAACAAAGAAGTAAAAGGGCTAATAGAAGTAATGACCCAACTGGAATTAACAGATATCTATAGAATATTTCATCCACATAAAAAAGAATATACCTTCTTCTCACCACCACATGGAACCTTCTCAAAAATCGACCACATACTTGGCAACATATCAAACCTCAGCAGCTACAAAAAAATTGGAATAACTCCATGCATCTTATCAGACCACCATGCTTTAAAATTAGAATTCAACAACAACACAAATTGCAGAAAACCTACAAACTCATGGAAATTGAATAATGCTCAACTGCACCATCCCTGGGTCAAAGAGGAAATAAAAAAAGGAATTAAAGACTTCCTCGAATTCAATGAGAATGAAGACACAACATACCCAAACCTATGGGACACTTTGAAAGCAGTGCTACGGGGAAAGTTCATAGCGCTAAATGCTCACATAAAGAAACAGAAGAACAGTTATACCAGAGAATTAACATCACAGCTGAAAGCTCTAGAACACAAAGAAGCACACTCCCCCAGGAGGAGTAGATGCCAGGAAATAATCAAATTGAGGGCTGAAATCAATAAAGTAGAAACCAGGAAAACAATACAAAGAATCAACGCAACGAAGAGTTGGTTCTTTGAGAAAATCAACAAGATAGACAAACCTTTGTCCAAACTTACCAAACAGCAGAGAGTGAACACGCAAATTAACAAAATTAGAAATGAAAAGGGGGACATAACAACAGACTCTGAGGAAATCCAGAGAATCATTAGGTCATACTTTGAAAACCTGTACTCCACAAAATTCGAAAATTTAAAGGAAATGGATGACTTCCTGGACAGCTATCAATTGCCAAAACTAAATCAAGAACAGATAAGCAATTTAAATAGACCTATAACCCCTATGGAAATAGAAGCTGTCATCAAAAGTCTCCCAACCAAAAAAAGCCCAGGTCCAGATGGCCTCAGTGCAGAATTCTACCAGAAATTCAAAGAACAGCTTATACCAATTCTTCTCAAAGTGTTCCACACAATAGAAGCAGAAGGGTCTTTGCCAAACTCTTTCTATGAGGCTTCAATAACCTTGATCCCCAAGCCACACAAAGATACAACCAAGAAAGAGAACTTCAGACCAATATCCCTCATGAACATTGATGCAAAAATACTCAATAAAATACTGGCAAATCGGATCCAAGAACACATCAAAACAATCATTCACCACGATCAAGTAGGTTTCATCCCAGGGATGCAGGGATGGTTCAACATACGAAAATCCATCAACGTAATCCACCATATAAACAAGCTGAAAAACAAAAATCACATGATCATCTCACTAGATGCTGAAAAAGCCTTTGACAAAATCCAACACCCCTTCATGATAAAGGTCTTGGAGAGATCTGGGATAACAGGGACATACTTAAACATAATAAAAGCCATATACAGTAAACCAACAGCCAACATCAAACTAAATGGACAGAAACTCAACGCAATTCCTCTAAAATCAGGAACAAAACAAGGCTGTCCACTCTCTCCATACCTTTTCAACATGGTACTTGAAGTTCTAGCTATTGCCATACGACAACAAAGGGGGATCAAGGGGATACAAATTGGGAAGGAAGAAGTCAAACTTTCACTGTTTGCAGACGATATGATAGTTTACATCAATGACCCAAAGAACTCTACCAGGGAACTCTTACAGCTGATTAACACCTTCAGCAAAGTGGCAGGTTACAAGATCAACTCAAGAAAGTCAGTAGCCCTACTATATACAGATGATAAAAGGGCTGAAAGAGAAATCAGAGAAACATCACCCTTTACAATTGCCACAAACAACATAAAATACCTTGGGGTAACGCTAACCAAACAAGTGAAAGACCTGTATCGTAAGAACTTTGAATCTTTAAAGAAAGAAATTAAAGAAGCCCTCAGAAAATGGAAAGATCTCCCATGCTCTTGGATAGGTAGGATCAATGTAGTAAAAATGGCAATCCTGCCAAAAGCAATCTACAGATTCAATGCTATCCCCATTAAAATCCCAGCACAATTCTTCACAGACCTTGAAAGAACAATAATCAATTTTGTATGGAAAAACAAAAGACCCAGGATAGCCAAAACAACCCTGTTCAACAAGGCAACGTCCGGAGGCATCACTATCCCTGACCTCAAGCTCTATTATAGAGCTATAGTCCTGAAAACAGCTTGGTATTGGCACAAAAATAGACAGGCAGACCAATGGAATCGAATTGAAAATCCGGGTATTAACCCACACACGTACGAACATCTGATCTTTGACAAAGAAGCTAAAAATATACAATGGAATAAAGAAAGCATCTTCAACAAATGGTGCTGGCATAATTGGAGACTGGCATGTAGAAAAATGCGGATCGATCCATGTTTATCGCCATGCACAAAACTTAAGTCCAAATGGATCAAAGACCTCAACATAAATCCAGCCACACTGAACCTCTTAGAAGAGAAAGTGGGTGGTACCCTTGAAAGAATTGGTACAGGAGACAGCTTCCTGAACATAACACCAGTAGCACAGACAGTGAGATCAACAATTAATAAATGGGACCTACTGAAACTGAGAAGCTTCTGTAAGGCAAAGGACACAGTCAGCAAGACAAAAAGGCAGCCCACAGAATGGGAAAAATATTCACTAATCCCACATCTGACAGAGGGTTGATCTCCAAAATTTACAAAGAACTCAAGAAGCAAGTCTCCAAAACAGCAAAGGACCCAATTAAGAAGTGGGCTGCAGAACTAAATAGAGAGTTTTCAATAGAGGAGTCTAAAATGGCTGAGAGGCACTTGAGAAAGTGCTCAACATCCTTAGCCATCCGGGAAATGCAAATCAAAGCAACTCTGAGATACCATCTCACTCCTGTCAGAATGGCTAAAATCAAAAACACCAATGACAATTTATGCTGGAGAGGATGTGGTGAAAGGGGGACACTCCTCCATTGCTGGTGGGAGTGCCAACTGGTTCAGCCACTTTGGAAAGCAGTATGGAGATTCCTCAGAAAAATGGGAATAAACCTACCACAAGACCCAGCAACTGCACTCTTAGGCATATATCCAAAAGATGCCCATTCATATAACAAAGATGTCTGTTCCACTATGTTCATAGCAGCTTTATTTGTAATAGCCAGAACTTGGAAGCAACCTAGATGTCCCTCACCCGAAGAATGGATAGAGAAAATGTGGTACATCTACACAATGGAGTACTATTCAGCAGAAAAAAGTAATGGAATCATGAGATTCGCAGGCAAATGGATGACACTAGAAGAAACCATCCTGAGTGAGGTAACCCAGTCACAAAAAGAGAAACATGGCATGTACTCTCTCATATATG